CAGCGACTGAGACAGAAGGTGCTGCACACTAGGAGGGCTCTTGTCGCGTCTGGGGAACAGCGTAGCGTCCACCCGAAGCCGAAATTGAAAACGTGGAGAACCATTTAGATAACCGCGACTCATATTCTGCTATACACATGTATATGGCGTATTTGAACACGTCTTCATGATAATAAGCCATGGACGTGTTGTTTCTTTATGAACAGGGATTTAGTGTTCCATCTTGTCTCTACACCAGTGCAATACAAGCAAACACTGATGCTGAAGCATAAAGTCAAGTATGTTTACCTTAACATGTATCATAAAAGTGAAAATAAATCCGATTAAAAGAAAAATCGATTTATGCCTTCAAATTCAAGAAATTACAATAATATAAGCTCAATCGATCTCATTTCTTGAATGATCGTATTTCAGAATGCGAGAGCTATCTTCATTCATAAATCTTCATAAATATTACTTCAGTTAATAGACACCGTGCTTGCTTACGGATGGAGGCCAATGTGATTTAGATCAAAGATGCTTTACTCGTCCATACGCACGAGTTGGTCCCTGCCTGGCGCTCGGCATTAATGGGTACAACAAGGACTGGTCGGCTCGGAGTCAGTATAATGTGTCTGAGTGGGGTATTCATGCTTCACTGCGGCATGGCATCTCAGTGGGCTAGCACTATAAAACCAGCTTCAGTCTGGGCTAGTACAAGCAGCCGCACATACACATGCATGCACGTCGTCATATGAGCGAAATATTCTCAAGCACGACGTTAAACCCAATTACACCTCACCTCACCTCGCCATACCCACGAGCAAAGTGAGTGGTTTTACGTCGCTTTACCCGCGACTTGACGCGGACAAAGGATTATAATCAGTACCAATGGCATGATGGTGTTTAAACTCACAAATACGAATGGCTAAACAAGTTTTTAGCCTAAAAAACTTCTGATATGTGCATGATAAAAATAACCGTATGATATTGAAGAATGGATTTATATCATTCACATAAACGTAATATTGATATACATATGTCGCTAGTTTCCGGTCACGTGACATCTGATCACATGTACCCCTACTGAAACGGCAGAAATGGATAAGCTTGAGTACAGAAAACTCATAAAGTTTTTGTTCCTCTACGGCCACCACATTGAATAGCGATTGACATCAGTACGAGTACCTCATGGGACCCAGTACGCGTACTGCTGTCAATCGCTCTTCCAGTATTTGTACTTTAGTATCAAACATAACATGTAGTACATCTAACACTTTAAACAAAGACATTGGGTATTCGTAGCTTTGTGAGCCGTGACAATTTACACTTGTGGGAGCGGTACTAAAAGTTCATGATTTAGACGACCAATTGTCTAAATTCTATTTTTCGTGAAGACCGTTGACTTTGTGTACGGGGATTGGATGGTTCAATCTGAGATTGTACGTTCGAATCCCCGCATGAGTCTCAACCTAAGAAACTATTAGAATTTGTACTTTAATAGCGAGTTAAAATTTAACGTCCCATCGACATTATTTTAGTTATATAGTGATATACGTATTTTGTTAAGATTTGGGAAAGCATTATAAATGTGGGGATCATAGGGTTTGCACGGGCTGCAAATAGTGCGTTCGTGACTACCCGTGAAGATCCGGGTTCGAATTGGTCCTCAGGAACTAATGCTTGTCGTAAGAGGCGACGAACGGGATCGGTGGTCAGGCTCGCTGACTTGGTTGACATATGTCATCGGTTCCCAATTGCGTAGATCGATGCCCATGCTGTTGATCACTGGATTGTGTGGTCCAGACTCGACTAACTACAGACCGTCGTCATAAAGCAATCATGTTTAGACGGCAAGGGTTCGTTGTTGATGCTAGAGATGTTAGCATGCCGCTAACTGCAGTGTAGAACGGCATTCATTCATGAAAGCATACTTGCATAATCGTTCTCTACACGTTTCCACAACCAATGACAAAACGGTGAAACCGTCATTTCAAGCTTTTTATTTTGCTACGTTCATAAACAGCGGTCAGTTATGAGAGTGAGTATGATTATACGCCGCTTTTAGCAATATTAAAGCAACATCACGGCAGGGGACACCACGAACAGGCTTCACACATTGTACCCATGTGGGGAATCGAACCCGGATCTTTGGCGTGACAAGCGAACGCTTAAACCACAAGGCCCTTTCGGTCGAAGCAACATGGATGTTATTTAGCATTGATCGAGAGTACATAAAATGTACGCGTATATACTGTCCATTGTTATCCATGGATTATTTATGTTGAAATAAAGATATGTATGTAATTGGGTGAGAAGTTTCCACTCACAGGCCAAGACAGTGAGATAGGATCGAATGACAAAAGCTGCCCATGTTGTGGTTGACCTGTAGGGTTGTAGCCTCCGCATGTCGTGAACCACCATCCTGACTTGTGGATGTTTGCACAGTTGTCAGCACTGAGGTCGTTGTCGACGTCGTAAGTGGAGAACTTCGTTCCATTTGCTTGCGTGAAATAATCACCGAGGACGTGGATGCCCCCGTCGTCTTGATTAGGGTAACCAGAGTCGAATGTGAATTCGTACCCACCAGTCTCTCCTCGCACCTGCATCATTATCACCATCATCATCATCATCATCATCATCATCATCATCATCATCACTTGCAATATAACATGGTAAAAAGAGAGAGATATCGTCAAGACATCGATTATTAGTATTGGGGATACGCCAAAACTTGATGTGCCAGTAATAAAAACTCCTGAAAGCATGTTCCCGATCCGTTGTGATTTGTCTGCACAATACACATACACGCGGGTCTCGCTAAAGTGGTAAATATTCCACGACCTGTAGGGCTGGCTACAATGATCAGTAATCGGCAACATCGTCGATTAGAAAAAGATTTATGATGATCAATATGAAAACTGTGTTACTGACAATATCATGCATAAAATTTTGTGATAAAATAAGTTCGTTTCAATTTACTCACACAATATACAAAATTAGGTCTTTATTCATGGGCTGCTCCCAAATCATTTTGAAGACATTTTTTGTTAGTAAAACATGCATAAGCATGTCCCCACTCACCAGTGATGTGAACTATATTCATTTCCTTCAGACGTTTTTTGGCATTTATGCTCAAAAGTTACTTCTCCAATATTTATGGATAATCCATCTAAAAGTTTAGGTAACAGGCATTAACCACTACGGTTAAGGGTAAGAAAATGGTTCTGGTATTTGCGAGACAGGGGTCACAACAAAGCCTAATAATTAATTCCAGACCACGATTGTGTTAACTTCTTCGAGAGGCATTTTAGAAGTTGTATAGATGAAGGAAAACCAAGTTCTATGGATAGTGGAAGGAAAACCAAGTTCTATCCATAGAACTTGGTTTTACTTCACGATTGTGTTGCTATGGCTAGTGGAAAAACACGAATTACTTCCCCTTGGACAACTGACATTTACATTCAACACTGGTAATATGAGTAATACAAGATCTTCCAATACATGGAACCAGTGTATATCAATCTGTTGATGGTTTGGTTTCAAAGATCGTATGGCAGAAACTTGTATGATGCTGCTCTAAGACTCCTTACTTTCTTGCTCTCTTATGAAAATAATTTCTTCAATTTAATAACCGACCAATTTGGCCAAGATATTACATGTTCAAGATGACATGACCTCAACATGTTATCCCTGCTGTGTTTGAATAAAAAATGAAACTTAACTGTTTAATACATTTGTCAAGTGTTGAAAGTTTAATAAAACATTAAGGGAAAACAGTGACTGTCCCCGATAGTCGGTTTTGCTTGACTTTATCTAAACGATATATAGTATGGAACTAATACATGTGTTATCCATGCAAATAGGATACAATGACACATGTTCGTTGCTTGAATAACGCCGCAGTCCGCAATATACCAGGTTTATGAGGGTAGTATGTAAGGAAATAAAAGTTAAATGTTAAAGTTTGTTTGTTTGCTTTTTAGTTATGCTTTCATCTTTATTTTTTTGTTACGCTTTAATGTCAGAAGTGCCAAAATGGGTATCGTTAATGAATCATAGTATTATTTAGCTTTCTCTGTATTTGGAAATCGTTTTGAGCCGTATTAGAATACCCATTGCCAATAGAATCAGAATAGTATGATATTTATGGTATATGTTATATACGTACGACGAATCCTTCGTAAACGTATTGCTTGTAGGTTTCGTAACGCGCTTCAACAAACAGCCTGTGACTTCGGCTGGATGTAAGTTGGTGAAGCATCTCGTTGCCAGCCCAGAAACTCCCTGTATTCAGACAAAAACTACTTACTACATTCACGAACAATATATTGGTAGCTTCTGCTTTGTGTAGGCAATATATCACTGCCGAAGGGCAAGACGCGGATGATTATAGTCTGACCTCGTTATAGTGGTCCGTACAAATGTTTGATTTACGAATATTACTTCCAAGCTGGGCATATGTTCTCGTCACGATATGGCTGAGATATTGCCGATGTGACGTTAAATAATAACTCACTCACTCACTCCAAGCTGGGAAGCGGAAGTACAATATTGTTGGATTGTCAGGGTCTCTAGTTCTAGCTGTTTCTCTCACTAGCCTACAGGTACGACGGTCACGGATTCTACCCTTGAAATAAATATACATCATTCCGGATATTTCCGTAAGTTGGGAATGAAATGCGTGTCATATGGTTTCTTATCAAGTGCAAATATGAATGCATTTGGGACTTTCTATGGAATATCCCTGGGACGATGCTCTTCCACAGAAACACCCTGCTGAAAACAATTAAGAGCATGACGTCACTGGAAGCATTTAGAAGATTTAAAACTTCAGATGAAAATGGGATGACGTCATAAGAGGTTTATAGATCGAATAAAGACTCGTATAATAACGGTCGATTAATCATGTAGAAGTGTTGGATTTGATACAAGCAATCGCTAAAGAGGTTTGTCTTAATGCGAAACAGTCGGATTAGCTGAACGATAAGCCCTGTTGTACATGTCTGACAATGAGTTGACATGACGCAATTATCGGCATAACGCATGAGTCAGATTATTGATTATTAATAATAGTCAAATATACTAGATGCCCTTATTTCGGATTAACAAACTTAAATATTTACGCCCGGTAATTATGTATTACATTGATCTGTATCGGCTATTGAATAACCAGAAATATGTTAAATATTATCATCATCTTTTAGGAGTTAGAGGACTAAATATTCGAGGATGAATGCTGTATTTGTTAATTCAGAAAATAAAGTTGTTATCTCCTCAAATGTCTGATAAATGAAAATCAAAAAAGGTCAACACCAAAAAGTAATTAGAATTCTACTAGGTGAAACTTAAAAATATGATTGAAAATTATTTGACAGGGTCATTGAAAATCAGTGATGGCACAAGATGTTCGCAATAGGGTGAACCTGCTCTACAACACACGCTGTGAAGTCGTAAGGAATGGCAAACACACACATAAACATACAGATGCCATTTTTCTTGACAACCAAGCTATTCGTGTAAATATAAAAGCGAATAAACGCTTACCTGTTTTGTTCACAACATACTCGGAGACGCCAAAGCCATCCTTATAGTCTTGCCAACTTCTTGTAAAGTTCACGTAGGGACCATTCCTGCCTACGATCATCAGGTAGGTCCGGCCGCCCCAAACCATGTGGCAGTACACGCAAAATACAGACGTCGATAAACGTGGCTGGATGAAAAAGATCCCTTGTTCTTGGGAATAATATTCCGACCCTTCCGAGCAGTCTGTAATGGTTGGAACGGCTATAATTGATTACAGCTGGTGAGAGCAATCAGTCCATATTTCGTAAATGTTACATTAATTCAACATAAGATTTGGTATCAAAATCATTTAAGGAAGCTGTCATCGAGTGTTATATTTTCTGACAAGGGGCCCATTCCTCAAAGCAATCGTAGTGCTAAGACGATCGTAACTCCCATTCTTTAACATAGACTTACGACAGTCGTAGCGCTACGATGATCGTAACTCCCATTCTTTAACATAGACTTACGACAGTCATAGCGCTACGATGATCGTAACTCCCATTCTTTAACATAGACTTACGACAGTCGTAGCGCTAAGATGATCGTAACTCCCATTCTTTAACATAGACTTACGACAGTCGTAACCCTAAGTCGTAACTCCCATAGTTTAACATAGACTAACAGATGATCGTAACTCCCATTCTTTAACATAGACTTACGACACAGTCGCTAAGAGCGCTCCCATAAGATGACTCGTAACTCCCATTGTTTAACATAGACTTACGACTGTCGTAGCGCTAAGATGATCGTAACTCCCATTCTTTAACATAGACTTACGACTGTCGTAGCGCTAAGATGACCGTAACTCCCATTCTTTAACATAGACTTACGACAGTCGTAGCGCTAAGATGATCGTAACTCCCATTCTTTAACATAGACTTACGACTGTCGTAGCGCTAAGATGACCGTAACTCCCATTCTTTAACTTAGACTTACGACAGTCGTAGCGCTAAGATGATCGTAACTCCCATTCTTTAACATAGACTTACGACTGTCGTAGCGCTACGATCGCTTTGTGGAACAAGGCCAAGCTGTATATATACGTTTATCATATCGGCGAAAGTAGTGAATCTTTTTTGTGTCATGTCGACTTGAATAAACTTATACACTGTGCCAATGTTACGGATTTTTTTATATTGGTTGTTTAACGTCGCACTCAATACTCCAGTACTAGTTCTGTGCCAATTTTGGGAGTCGAACTCGTGCTTTCGGTGTGGCGAACCAACATTATAACCACTGGGTCAAACACTGGAACTATTTCCCGTTAAGTGGCGAAGGCGGGTATACCCAATCGTATTATTTCATCCGTGCTCTAAACATACATTGTTGAAACGAAAATATAATATTGATTATTTAGAAAATGTGTTTATAAAAGTAATGCTATCGTAGTAAAATTGTATGCTAGCAGATGAAGCATCATAGATTAAGTATATTGACTTCACCTTAAACTGGACCCCAAAATAGTGCGTTCATGACTACCCGTGAAGATCCGGGTTAGAATTGGTCTTCAGTAACCCATGCTTGTCGTAAGAGGCGACTAACGGAATCGGGTGGTCAGCCTCGCTGACTTGGTTGACTCATATCATCGTATCCCAATTGCGTAGATTGATGCTCATGCTGTTGATCACTGGATTGTCTGGCCCGCCGCCACTTATTGGGAATATTGCTGAGAGCGGCGTAAAACTAAACTCAATCACCCTTAGGTTAGGGCCCTTCTGTACCCAGGGGCGTAGGTACCACTATAAAAAAAAGCCCGTGCTTACACATGATTGTTGCCAAAAAGGTTGGGCAAGTCCTCAATACTATCTAAATATAAAGCTTTGCAGCCTATCGGGCTTACACGAAAAAATTGGCGTGCTACGCCCCTGGTACCTACCTTGCATAAGTCTTTCACAGCTGTCTCCAATATAGCCATCGAAGCAGCGGCATTTATTCGTGTTCATCAGGTAGGCACCATGACCGTTGCAAACCTGTTCTTCTCCCTACAAAACAGAATTTATTGGTAGAAACACATTTTGTTCACCAGGAAGAATAAATGGCGCTAACGTGAGCATGGGCAATTACGAATAGTAATGTGGTTTCAGTCTGGCGTATTTCAAAGTTCATCTAAATGCACACATGTACATAGGCTAGAATAGGTCAACCTCTATCTATCGCGCAAAAGAAGAGGGTATTACACCGAACCTAATGTTCTGGATCCTATGAGATCCGCGAGACGTTCCAATGGTTATTATATTTCTTATATTTTCCCAAGGATCAAGTTTTGATTTAAATCATATGACTTCATTCATTCATTCATTCATTCGACCGCCTCCGTGGTGTAGTGGTTAGAGCGTCCGCCCGGAGAGCGGAAGGTCGCGGGTTCGATCCCCGACCGAGTCATACCAAAATACGTTAAAATATGGTACTTGTTGGTCCCTGCCTGGCGCTCGGCATTACTGGGTACAACAAGGACTGGTCGGCTCGGAGTCAGTATAATGTGTCTGAGTGGGGTATTCATGCTTTACTGCGGCATGGTATCTCAGTGGGCTAGCACTATAAAACCAGCTTCAGTCTGGGCTAGTACAAGCAGCCACACATACACATACACACTCATGCACGTCGTCATATGAGCGAAATATTCTCAAGCACGACGTTAAACCCCATATCACCTCACCCCATTCATTCATTCATTCATTCATGTTTTATTTATTTCTGTTTTGGGGGTAGGAGGGTGGACAACAATAGTCACTGCTTTCTGGTGTAAACATCAAACAAAATATTACAAAAATCTGTAATTGTCAGCCTACATTGTCCAGCATGAAGGTCTGAAACTGGTTCACGCATCCTGTGTCAGTCAAACCAACGTTGCTGTTGAGATAGCAACTCCCTCCACCGTCCTCTTCTTTGAAACTGAACGACGTGCACGATGGAGAGGTAGAACAGGATAAAGCGCAGCGAATCCGGCTTCCAGAGGACACGATACTTCTACCGTTAACGCTGAGTGGATCAAAACAGGTAACTACTCGGTTGTACAGGCTGCTTGGAAGGTGCCCAAACGTACAGGAGGCCATTAGGCAGAGGAAGGTGATTGAGAACGGTACATTCATCATGGATTCCTTGTACAGAACCTGGTTATGTCACCTGTAGTATAAAATCACAGACACAGAAGTTTCCCAAATGTAATGAACACGTTATGAATAGACAATTGACGTGACCTTTCAATACTTGGTTCATGCGTAAGTTTCACTGTTGAACGTTATCGTACAAACATGGGGGCGGTGGGGTAGCCTAGTGGTTAAATCGTTGGCACTTCACGCTGAAGACCCGGGTTCGAATCCCCACAAGAGCACAGTGTGTGAAGCCCATTTCTGGTGTCCCCCGCCGTGATGTTGCTGGAATATTGCTAAAAGCGGCGTAAAACCAAACTCAGTCAGTCAGTCAGTCGTACAAACATGCCGTGTAACATGCTTGTACAACACAAAAGCAGTTAAACCGTTTAGGCGAGTGAGTGAGTGTGCATGGCGCTTTGAACAGTATTTCTCAGGTACACCACGACGTGCCAGCTCGATATACCAGGAAAGCCCACACAGATGCAGGGCTATGAAGTTTACCACTCTGCCAAACAGACAAGCATGTGAATGGTGATGGTTGGTTGGTTGTTTTACGCCGCACTCAGCAATATTCCAGCTATATGGCGGCGGTCTGTAAATAATCGAATCAGGACCAGACAATCCAGTGATCAACAGCATGAGCAGTGGCGTTGCTACAATGATAAAACAAAGCTCGGGCTTACACATGATTGTTGGTGAAAACGTTCGGTAAGCCCTCTATGCTACCTAAGTAATACAGTTTTGCACCTATCGGGCTTACACGAAAAAACTGACTTGCTACGCGCCTGATGAATATCGATCTACGCAACTGGGATACGATGACATGTGACAACCAAGTCAGCGCGCCTGACCTCCCGATCCCGTTAGTCGCCTCTTACGACAAGCATGGTTGCTTTAGACCAATTGTAACCCGGATCTTCACGGGTCAATGAGACATGTAAAAATATTGAAGACTCACCGGGATTCGAACTGATAGAATTATCAAGATACAATACCATCGTGAACACTTCATGCATCACCTCCTGGTTGTATCTACCTACCTTGACAGTGTTGACGAGACGTTCAAACGTTACACCTCCACTGCACCCTTTGACAAAAGTATGACAGAACGGCCTCGAGGACGACGGTGAAATGTCACCATTAGGAAATGTTCCTGATCAATGATTTTGGAAAACGTTAGTTTTTTCTCAAAGCGACACCCATATCTGTAATTACGTACACAATCTTGCAGTATCATCTGTTTGCGTAAGGCTTAAAACACTTAAAGGAAATCAATTGAGGCCTTTGTGTTAGAAAGATAACAAATTTACTGTGATATTTGTTACGGAAATATCGTTAAGGTGGTGTGTGACTTCCAATTAGTTATGATGTTTACACAAGAACCACCACTGTTATGGTCACGAACTTGCTGATGGAATCGTGTCCCTTCTCCTGGCAAAATGCAAATTCTTTGCTTAAATGTTTGATCTACGTATTTAGTTTCTGAAACCACTGTGTACATTGAAGAATACAGATCGGTTAATTTTAAAGTGTTTTGTTTGCTTGATACAATGAAACGACATTAATGAATTAAGTAACAGATATTAAGAACAGATATTTCACGTAATTTAAAATTTGAGAAAGTTCGTAAACGAAGTAATTTTTCTATTAAAAACATGATCATGCATCTAATATTTCTATAACTTTGTTTAAAGGGGCACTGATCCAGAGCAATTTCCGTGGCCTGGTTGTTGCTTTTGTTATTGTTTTTCTCCTTGGAGTACCCGAATGAAATCCCACAATTCTTGACTGGTTCTTGATCTCTGCTGCGCCACCCCCAAGTGCAGTAGATAGTATTGGCGTAGACTGATCAACAATTATGAAATCATTTTCGCTCGATAATATTTCCATCTTCATTATTATGATAACAAGTGAAAACATTTTGAAGTTTAACCATCTGCCAGTGGTAAAAAATGTTACGACTGAAAAATAACGAAATCAATGTACGTCTTTATATTTTGTCTTATAATCCAAATTAGTTTATTATCATATTTGTATGCATTTTGAAACTTAATAACAAGCACACGATCTGCTTATACTTATAGTAAATGTATAACATGACTGTAATATCAAGACATTTTATAGATTGTCAGTTGAATCATATTTCACACACACGCCCAAAGTGCGACCTAGTGTATGTTGACTGTCTCATTACACTTAAAGGCGAAAAAAAATGATTCTGTTGAATGCTACAACAAATCAATACAAACAAAATGCAAATATTAAAATTAAAACAGACTGAAGTTATAGCAACAATGTCAGGCTATTACCTTGTTCAAGGAATGTATCCATCAAGATCCCCATAAAGGAACGATATGCCATTCATCTGCAGCTGACATAGAATCCTGTTCCATATCATGTGTCTAACAGTCTAATATGCGAAAAAGTGATACATCGTTTCAGTTTTTTCACATTGGTGTATAGTCTCATTGGCCACCTAAGATAGCACACCTGGCAACTAATTGCATGATGCCACATCAGACCTTAATTTACAATGTTGAGTATTTACTCCAGACACGAGAAATGCCAAATGGGAACCTTTGTCGGGTAATCTGAGTGGTTTTACCACTAATTATACCTGGTATAAACTCATTAACTGACCATCAAGTGAATGATGACAAATAGCATGTGTAGGTTTATACCATCAAACACGGGTTACGTGCAATTTTAATTGCCTTGAAAAAACTGATGGGTCGACATTGTTTGAGCATACGAACGGAATTTCATTGTTGCATAAGGAATACATATGAGAGTTTACTCTGTACTTAAGTTAAAATAGGTATATACCTATTTACCTAAGTAAATTTTCAGATTTTCTAGCAATGGCAAAGTGGGGTGGTTTAGTTTACGGATTTGTAGTCATTCAAAGGTCTTTCAGCATGCGGGTGTGGAGTGTTGAGCATTATTTTACATTTGCTATGTCAAGGCTTACATCAAACCATTAATTGATTGGTTGACTGGTCGTTTGTCCCTTGGTGGAATATGCTGAAAATAATACCACAGTGGCACTGCTTCCTCGTATAGGATAACTGCAATATCTGTTTTGATAACTGTAACTACACATCGCGATCACTATTTTGTAAAGTGAGAGTTAGAAAATATCTGATGGTAAATGCACGAAATATATATTTTAATGTACTTAAAGAAATATATTCATGTAAAAAAGACAACTCAATAATGATCGCATTTATTTAGTGTCGTGTTACAATTGTCATAGACAACAATGGATAGCATGGAATACCAGCTCTCGAAAGTATTGCGATTCGCTGTGCAGAGTTACGTGTCTTACCTCTATCAGGATCCGCTGATGATAGGTTAATATCCAATACTCGTCCTAAAAGCATGCCTTAGTCGCAAAGCACCATACTCTTGGTATAGTTAGTAGAAAGGACCACTTACAGTTTTACTTCTTAATTAGGCTGACATGTATAATAAAAATAATAATGTTTACACGAAATCATTTTCTCCCAAACACTTCCGACAGACCGTAAGTAAGAAACATTTCTAAAGCTTCCGGTGAATAGTTTCCAGGAATTGGCCACGAGAGAGCAAGCGGATCAAATGACATGTATGTATCAGATGAAGGTTGTGGTTGCCCTGTAGGGTTGTATCCCCCACACGTCGTGAACCACCATCCTGACTGGTGAATGTCTGCGCAGTTGCCATCACTGAGGTCGTTGTCGACATCGTAGGTGGAGAACTTGGTACCATTAGCCAGCGTCAGTCCATCGCCAAGTACGTGTGCTGGTGTCGGTCCACCAAATTCAAATGTGAATGCGTAACCTTCGTCTTCACCTTTGACCTGTATATAACGATTAATTCAATTGGTTTTGGAAACCAGAAGCACGGAATCACCTGATTAGTTTCAAAACAACCTGGATTTCATATTCGTATCGCAAATACATGACCATCTTATGCTGGACAATTTCCATGTGTGGTGTTAAACAACAAATTCTGTGTTTTTCTATTGCAAGGGCATACTCTACACAACATGTGAGACTAACACTTTAAAGCGTAGCCTTCACTGTGACCTTTCATATGACACATAACGAAATGGCGAGCAGTGCTTATACTTTTTTAAAACATTAATAGCGACAACTGATATAGTGGAGCGCAATAGTGCAGTGGAGCGGAACAGTGCAGTGGTAAGGCGTCTGCTTATCACGCTGAAGGTCCGGGTTCGATCCCTTTGGAGGCACCTAGGTTCGGGTCCCGAGGTGGGCACATTTGCGTCGTATCCTTGGACAAGGTATTTAGATCCCCATTGTTTCATTCAAATGGGTACCCGTGAGGATGTGCTTTTAATGTGTGTGTTTAGTTCATTGCGCCTAACAGGCAGCATGGCTGTATGATCCCAAGGGAGTTGATAAAGTATCGGAAAGTACAATAATGTCCTATGACCGGGGATAGTAATGTACGTAGCGCCGTGAGCAGGCAATGTGCCTGGATATTAGCACCACATGAGCGGACTATTACTATATTACTAACTATATGAGAGGATCAGTAAGAAAGGAGGGAGGACACCAGGTGTGAAAGGAATCAGTATGTCTTTCTTTTCCTGTAGAACCCGCCAGTCACACATTAAATGTTTGTGCGTAGCCTAACAGCATTCCAGCCCTAGGGTGGCGGTCTGTGAACAATCGAGTAGTAATCTATCTGTACCAGGTAACTCTTTCGGTATGAATGAGTGTCGTAATTGTCTGCAGTGCAGATCTGGGACTTGTATGGACCGTATGGTCCTGAGATCTATAGCATTTTACAGATGATTAATCATCAATGTCCTACGCCTTAGGGGCACGATAACATGCACACTCAACCAACCCAGTCAGCCCGAGTACCCGATTCAGCCAATTCGACTCCTTCGATAATATCTGAAGCCACATTACTTTTTACGCTATTCTTTGAAAACTATCTAATTGTTTACTTTATGTACATACCACAAATCCATGATACTGATACTGTAAATACATTCCTCCTTGGAACTTGGCGTCAACGATCAAAGTATGGCGTCGGTTGTTCGTGACATAATGCAGCAGCTCGTTGCCTATCCAGAAATTTCCTGCAATCAAAAACCGTTACATTCCCATTACCAATCTACCAGCTGACACTACAGGATGACACTGTGGATTATAACTATGAAGTAAAGACTGCATTTACAGCTGACAAACAATAATCTTGCACCGCGACCAACCAACAAATATGGCCACTTCTTATTATGTGTGGGTTTTTTAAACGTCATTCTTAATTTTCTCGAACGCTTACTCTATAGAGGGGAGGTGGGGTAGCCTAGTGGTTAAAGCGTTGGCTCGTCAAGCAGAAGACCCGGGTTCGATTCCCAACATGGGTAGAATGTGTGAAGCCCATTTCTGGTGTCCCCCACCGTGACATTGCTGGAATATTGCAAAAATGCGGCGTAAAACTAAACTCACACACTCACTACCCAGTAGAGATGTTTTGTACTTCATACGTTAAATCTCTGACCAAACGGTACTGGCAAATAGTATAGAAAATACTGCACATCTGATATTCAGGTAACATAAAATCCTTTTACCATACCCACTTATCATTTATCAGTGTTTATCACTGATGAAATGTGATCTAGTACTGACATGGCCTACGGTCATCCGTGTATACGTTTTCATGAATGTAGGGGCATCATAAAATATATGTTAATATCCAATATCTGATCTTCTGTCAAATTCTAGTTGTAAAGTGTCCTCAGTTATCATTACATGTTCTCAGTTTATTCAGTATTGTCTTACGGCTACTAGAAACTTTACATGCAATATTGATTGATATTTTCGAGTGTCCCCTTCTTTCGTGAAAGGTATGACACGAGATATCGGAGAATATCTTCCAATCAGTTAAGAGAAATAAGGTGTCAGGTCAACGAATCCTATCAGAAATTCATATCAGTTTCCATTATCACTTGCAATGTCAGTCATTCATAACATGCAACTATTCAAGAACTGTTTGACATCCATTTATCAGAAGTTGACGGATGACAAAGAAACAAACTTCTATGGACAAGAACTTTATGCAATATGCCTGTTATATAGCCACGTTTCGGTATCGACCATTATGCCGTGTTAAGCACTATATACCCCGCGAAGGTTCTTCATGACAGAATCTCATGGAGCACCTTTGCACACATTTATTTGTCTGTTCATTATGAAAACACAACGCACAGCAGTTATTTAATAAGAGCCAAAGATGCTGGACACAATTATAATGGCAATGTTGATTTTGTTGATGGTTCTTCACTGGACGATGAAAATGACAACTACAAAGTATATTCTTTTTAATAGGCCCATATACAGCCTCAGACTTGTTCAAGCCAGCAAACCTTGATCAAACAAATGAAATTATAACGTTGAATTTTCTATCCCTTTTGACAAGATTGTGATTTGCAAAACAAGGCAAAATGTCTCGCTTGCATTCCGAGTACCCTGTCGACAGGCACCCTATTGTTCCCATTGCACTTGGTTTGGTACCTCCTGGTCTCTAATCGCAGATCAAGGATGTGTCCGGGTTCGCCGTCGGGAATAGAACCCTTCTTACACCCTTGGTAATGCAGAAGGCCGCAGTGTTGGAGAGGCTACATTTTCTCCAAAATGTTCTTAGGCAGTGCTTCCTGGGAAGTATCATTCGCTGTCTGTGCTGCGTGTAAAGGTGACGCGAGCTCAGAGCTCATGATGAGCTTAACCAGCCTGACAGGATCACCCGAACCCTATCTGCTGCATTCATCTATCCGAATCTGTAGAACATAATACCGTTTTAACTTCAATTCTCAGCAGCAACAAAAATATCACATCCAATTACCATTTTGTGTTGTCGATGCTTGTCTGAGGTCACCGAATCCATGCTTATAGTCGTACCAATTTCGGTTGAAGTCTACAAAGGGGAAGAAATTTGCCTTCCACATGACGTATGTTCTCCCCAGCCAGACCATGTAACAGAGCGCAGTGAAAGGATGGTGTAACGGTGAAGGCTGAACGTAGAAGACCCCTATTTCGTCTCTGTATTGCCCAACAGAGAAGGCTTCACTGCAATCTGGAAAAATTGTTTTAGTGATAAAGAAGATTGGCTCCAAAATATTACGGAAACATATTGCGGGATCTCCATGTGAAACTGCAGAATGGTCCTTCACTGACCTGGCACAACAGAAGTTACATAGATCATAACTACTGCCGGGGGAGAAAGAGCAGAACATATTTATACAATACTTCATAAGGTAAAACCATATCTCTGAGAGAATATTGCCCTTCTGATCACCTAATGATCGATTGTTCAAAACTATTGTCTGTTTGCAGTGAAAACGTACCGATGAATTTCACTTTAAACAAAAAAGTAAATCAAATAAAGTGAAATTAAGATTACGAATCCTCATAATTTTACCTTGCCAATTGACCATTTAAATCTTAATTCAACTAAGGATAAAAGTTGTTAACGCTCACCACGTACCGCACGTGCATTTGTTTCACTGTTCCAACTACTGTGCTTACCCCCTTGTAATACAAACCAATAATAGCGATTTGAATCTATGATCGTTTGTGAAACAACTTTTATCCTAAGTTGAATAAAATTCTGAGATTTAAATGGTCAATTGGCAAGGTAAAATTATTAGGATTCGCAATGTTAATTTCACTTTATTTGCTTTACTTTTTTGTTTAGAGTGAAATTCATTGGTACGTTTTCACTGCAAACAGACTATAAACCAATGGATTCTATGAGGGCATATTTTTGTAAATCTCATACCAACAAT